ACCGGTATTGCATTAGCAATATTATTCTCCAACCGGCAAGTGTAATCTGGTACCCACAAAAATTGAATTGTCACAATTTCATCAAAATCATTGAAGTGGAACAAAATTCAAACTTTAACTTGATCTATAATTCATCAAGATCAAGTCAAAAATTAACTCAATATCTACAATCGATTAGAATAAAATTGAAGAAACCTTTAAAAAAAATAATTTAAAAAAGAAATTAATTTCATCAAATATCATGAAACATTCACTTTACATTAATTTTTATCATTAACATATCATAGACTTCCTATAGCCATTGCATAGAAAATCATATATATAAGGACATCATTAATTTAGTAGTGAATAATGTTGTCCCTTTCCTAGTCTTTGCATGTGTTTTTGCTAATTGTCCGTTACTTTTTGTATCATATTAATGTGTATACTGAAATGAAATCACCAATTGATGTAAAAGTTGGTATGTTCAGTTGCATTACTTAATACTGTAACGAACATTTCATCATTATTTCAATATGGCAATTATGTACGGGTAAGTGAAGGTTGAAATGGATATGTGTTAGAAAGGGGTGTTTAGGATTGTAAGTGACATAAACAAGAGGATCGGGGGCCACATCGCTCACCTGAGCACTGTGGCAAGGAAAATTAATTCCTATACATGTATCTTTCTATGTAAAACTTTGTGAATTGGGCCCAAAAATAAAAATTAGTTTGTTTGCAGTTGCCTACCGACCCACTGAAAATGCATCTAACCCAAACTTTTTTTTAGCCATTTTGTAATTTAACTCTTTTTTTTTAAATTTTTCATAGTATTGAAACTATTTCATTTTTAATTTTTGACTTGTTTTTCTCAATCAGTGGTTTATAACAAGAGTGGAACTTTCACATGTTTAATAGGCTGTCCAGAACTTTCACATGTTTAATAAGGCCTATGAAAACATGAAAAGCTCTATTATTTGTAATCTAAAAATTAAAAAAAAGAATCCCTACCTACCTACCCCGTCTAAAAATTATAGGTCGGAAACTGCAAACAAAGAATGTTTTTAAGCTTGGCCTTGAAGCTCAACCCTATCCCGTGGATCTTGATTTGAACAAACTTAAATCTACAACACCTCCAGATGCTTGATTTGTATATAATGAAGCATACTGATATAAGAACAGTAATCAAGATGAAAAGTCCATAAAACAATACAAAACAGAAGCAGAGCAAACACGGACCTCCAAAAAATCAGACGTGGGATGAAGTGCAATGGGGGAATAAGCATCCCTTGCCAACTATAGTCACACCCGCCTTGTGCTCCTTGTCATGATCGAGAAACGGGAAAAAAATCGTCATCAATTCTGTGTATAAATAATGGACTAATAATTAGTTAGAAAATCGTCAGTCAGCACTAGACTCAATGATTAATTGTATTTGCTGACAAGGTCATTGTATCGACACTAGAACTTACGAAATGATGACATTAAACGAGACTGCTGATAATTATTTTTGTTCCATCAACTTCTTCGTCAACAGTTTACTTCGTTTTAGAAATTGTTCATACGTAGACCATGTTCTTGCATGTCGAATCAACTGAGATATATAAACATCTTTTTTAGGTGATGAAGGTATATTGCTGGTTACGTAAGGGAAAATGACAATAAAAAAGTCAAAGTCATCAGTTTTATCATAAAGCTTGTTGTTAGATTACCATTAACGTCTTTTAAAAGTAAATTATCCAAATATATATCGTGGGGAATGGTTGTGTATAAAGTTGAAAAGTCGTAAGTTTTTAAGTTGCTGATTTTGTTAAAATCTTGTGACTTCACAGTGTCCAAATTTAAATTGTTTTTTTAATATCCACCTCTAATTTACATATCTTCTTGAATGTATTGTTATACAATACTTTTGAAGTTTCTCCTTCACTACTGCATATATCTAAGTGATGAGAATATATGACCGACCATGGCTTTGCTACATGTATTCTTGAGAAGAAAGATTTTGAAGATTCTTTTCACATTCCTACCACTATGATCATCCATTGCGTTCTGCCCCACCCTATCCCAGGGGTCACGATTGGAGCAAACTTTGGTCTACTCCAGGGGCTACTTCAATATTAGTTAACCCACCATGGCTTGGCTGTTCTTGAGAAGAAGATTTTTGAAGATTTTTTCAAGTATATTCCTAGGTGAGAATTTGATGTTCTATTGTGGTCCCATTCTGATCCTGCGGCTCATGATTTGAACAATCTTAATTGCATCTACATTAACTGACAATCTCTCCTGGCCCATTTGTTCTTGAGAATATTTCTCAGTGGTGCCATTAAGTTTTCGCTATTTTATAACTATCTCCCTTTTGAGGAGGGAATGAACCTCCATTCGAAAAAAACATGAATTCTGTGTCAAGTAACTCAAGTTTGGCTGAATTTTGCCCAGTGGTTCTGTAAAAGATGAAATTGTGAAAAGTTAACGACAACAACAACAATGACGACGGACAAGGGGCAATTTTTTATTAGAAAAGCTCACTTTGGCTCAGGTGAGCTTAATGGCACACAGCTTATCTTTGATTATAATGGGATTTTTTTTTTTAAATAACGTCCATATATTTGTTTTCATTTGACAATTACGATCTTGTTTCGTAATATGAAACTACATTTAATTATGGAACATAAAATCAGTAAAAAAAAAACAATGTTATTTTAAATTTCTTATGTTGGATATGTTTTATCTTGGGTTATTTGATTATAAACGATTTTTTTTCTTTTAAAGTTAAAATTAAACCCCTAATGCATACACTGTGTTACAGACGATAGTGGCGAACATTTTCAAAAATGACCCATTTGGGGGTACTAATAACTAAATCTTATTGAAGTCATACAGTTGTTGAATAACTGTTAGTTGGACCAAAATAACATTTAATCATTCGATAGTAATAAATAGTTTATTAGTATTTCACAGACGACATAAATTGCGCATGTACTCCTTGATTGAGTTTGAGACTATGAGTACACATGTACATAAAATAATGTTTCGTCTTATATAGTTTGAGACGTTAAACACACTTACGAGTACAGGTCTTGGACACATTATTCCAGACTTCTCCAATGCAACACCTGTTATACAAAAACATAACATGAAAATATAGGAATGTATAAGGGCAAAGGAAAACTAATTTTCTTTTGAAAAAGCCTTAATTTGGAGAAGAGAGAAGTTAACATACCTTTTATAACCAGAACATTTCATTGCAAAAGTATACAAATTAGTACAAATACATGTATATAAGACGAATAAAAATAATTTCATGCTTAATTTGTTTTTTGCCTCTCGTGTATTAACGCCTATCTATATATGTTTCCGTCTCGTTACATTCAAATTTTTGTAACTTATTTTAATCAACAGGAAATTCGAATTTCTATTTAAAATAATTTCAATCATCATTCAAAATGGAACTTAAGGACAGATGATACAAACAAATTTTATCTTTGGAGGAGACTTAATATCATGTCAAAAGTTTAGAAAAAGGGACAATTCTTAGAGTTTTTTCTCCTAAGAATTGGAAAATGAAATAGACTTGGAAAATATTAGTAATATTTCAATAAAATTATAAAAATGGATTAAACACACTCAGTAAAGGTTTACAGATGAGAATAAATATCAGAATATGTTAACTTGGTGCTTAAAGTGAAATATAAACTTCAGAAAAATATACCAAGCCAGATGAATTTTATGAGGAAAAGCAAAATGGTAAAAATCAGCCCATATAATATAAGGTGTTTTATGCCATTTTGCTTTTCCTGATAAAATTTGTTTGTATCATCTGTCCTTAACTACGCTCGCTTAATGTTTGAAAGGGGGGGGGGGCATTTCACTGAAACAAAATTTCAATGAATGTCATATATATTTTACTGGATTGTTTACCAGAAGGCGATGAGTGAAATATATATTATAGTGATTGTTTACAAAATGATTTGTGCATATAAAAATTATATTAATGAATTAATTAGATTGCGGAAGTATTTTACACTTTATTTTCAATTGAAAATATCCTGTTTGAATATTGTTCTACTATACTTGTAGATTTATAGATTAATAAATTTTACGTATAAACTCTGAAGCGGCTGTACCAGAGTTCTAACTTACACTGGGTATGAGGTAATGTCCGTAAATAATAATTGGGTTTCACTTGCTTAGTAATTATCGTTAATTTGAATGAAAGTATACTTTCATTTTCAGTAAACAGCCTCGAAATACCAAAAAAAAAAAAAAAAAAAATAGAAAGTACGGCGGTGCTTCTGGTTTGCAGATCTAAGTTACAGCATTTTTCGATTAAACTGACAACATGCAAGCGTTTAATAATTTAATAAGACATCATAAATGGATTATTCAATCATAACATGATCTAAGGTAGTTCTACATTCGGCACTAAATGGGCTTAAAGTCTAAATATTCAATTTTAGTACATGAGATAGAGTAGAAACCTGCGTATTAACCATGTACATGACCGTATTATCATTATTTTGTGTTAATTATAATAAATATTTGCACTTTGTTAGGCTAACGTAGTAAAATTTAACATGAGAAAATATGCTTCACAGATCAATCTCGGTCATTTTAGAGATTTCCTTGGACTCAATTTTCGAAAATTTTCATCTAATAAATAATTCCGAACAAAAACTCTTAGGACTGTTAAATAATTTGTGCATTTTAAGTTCAAAGGTAATTGTTTTCTTTGATAATATGGAATAAACAATGTAATTCCGTTTGCTTGATATTTTATTAATTTTTTTTTTATTTTAGATGACTGGATTAAAGATTCATTGAGATGAAAAAAAATATATCAGGATAGAATGTTCATGTGAATAACGAAGTCCTGTCCAAAATGTTAGTTTCTGGACTGGTAATTTAAATTATTCGTAGGTGATGGGTGATGGTAAATTATAATGTAAATCATACAAACTTCAAACATCAAATTTGTTTATAATACATAATCATTTTATATGTGTACTCAAACAAAACAATACGTCGTTTCCGGGATCCCCCTTTTAACTTTATCTATCACGTGACTTTCATCATCACGTGATAAAAAGTTAGGCATATTTTGTTCAAAATGGCGGCGGAAAGTCACCGAAACAAATCCGTGGCTGAATTGAAGGCATTTTTGTCAGATAGAGGCATCAATACATCACTTTATCGCAAAGATGCATTAATACGTATTGCAGAAGCTGCATCTGCGTTAAATCTAGAGCCTGAGACGGAGAATTACGGGAATTATCAGACTGAGAGAGCAAATCGAAGAAGTGTGATAGTCCAAGGAACTTCTGTGACTTTACCTGATATCTGTTCCGTATCAGACTGGCAGCAAGATTTGTCATTACTTCCAAATATTGAAACAGGGGACATCATGGTTTACCTAATGACAAAGTGCTCGTGGACCGAATCGCGGCTTAAGGCATACAAAAATGACAATGGCTACAAACTTTTTCAACATAGACACATTGACAATGTTGTTGTCAAATTCTTATCGTACAACCATTTCTATATAAAATGTACATGTGTTCCAGAAACTAGACAGTCAGAAAAGCCATACACAACATGGATTCTTATGGATAATGATGGCACTGTAAAATCTGGGGGTTGTACTTGTGTTGCGTAAGTTAAATGTTTATATTTGTATATTGAATAGTTGAAAAAAATGTTGAATATCTTAAAGTTCTTGCTCATATGTGATTAACAGATTGCCATAAGTTTAAAAAATATTTTACCATAAACTTGATAAAGTAAACATTTAAGGAATGTTTTTCAGTTTTGTGCGAGTTATTGGTGTGTGAATCACACAGACTTGTCACGTAGGCATATTTCATGAAGCGCGCTAGCGCTTCATGTAAAATATGCCTACGTGCAAGTCTGTGTGATTCTCACACCAATAATTCACACTAAACTTAAAAACATTCCTTATATTTACATTTTACATGTTTGGAAGCACCGAAAATATACTCAATATTTGAATTTCTCGCTGCCCTATATTGTTATACTTTTACTAATGTCGCTGTAGCCCTATTGTGACGTCACGGTAACTAACTCACGTTTCTCCATGTATATTTCTACGCGTGAGTATACACAAAAATGATTTTCAAATCAATTTCACAGTTGGCTTAGTAGAAAAACACAGCGAATGTAAATATTAATGTATGAAAGATGGAGAATACCAACATGTTCTTTACTTTGATGTAGTGCTGGAGCTCCTTTAAACTTTATACCTCCCAGTTACATATTACCGGTAATTATTTACTACATATTTTTCAACAATTGGAGCATTCAACTTGGTATCCTTACTTTATTTCAGTGATGACGGAACATGCAAACACTGCGTGGCTTTGTTATTTTCTCTTCAGTCCTTTTCTGAGAGACACAAGGATAGGGGAGAGGAAACCTGCACAGACAAACCATGCAAGTGGGACAAACCAAGGATAACTTCACACCCAGTCACTGTTGAGGAGATATCGTTTCGTAGGAATTCAAGTCATCCAGATAAAAAAGACAATTACAACCCGGTTTCAAATCAAAGGCATATATCACACAGGGAGATCACAAAGATATTGTACAAAACATGTAAACATTATGGTTCTGTGTTTATGCACACTGTAGATCCACCTTCGGACGATAGTAGTGATGAAGAAGATTCATTAGAAATCAAGGAACTCAGTGATATAATAAGTGATTACAAACAACAAAATCCAATCGGAAATGAAAATGAGTTGATTGATTATCTCAGAAAAATTCATTCAAAAGATGTAATTAATCAAATAGAAAATTTGACTAAGGATCAAACAGATAATGCTATGTGGTACAAATACAGGAAAGGTCGAATTACAGCTTCGGTGATGGGTTCTGTTTACAAATGCAGAATTGAAAATCTTGCAACAGAAAACTATATTGTGAAAAAAATTTTTGGCAGATCTTCTTTTTCTTCTGCAGCTACAGAATATGGGAAAGCAATGGAAAGTGTAGCTCTTCAACAATACTTCTTTCAATACTCTAAAGATCATTCAAAAGCCCAAATTATGAAATCTGGTTTAGTAATTAGTGAAAATTATCCTTTTATAGGTGCATCCCCAGACAATTTAATTTCTTGCCAGTGTTGTGGTAATGGCATTGTGGAAATTAAGTGCTCATACACCCATCAGCATAACTTTATCAAGGACATTGCTGCAAGTAATGACTATCACATACTTTTACACGAGGATAATATTGTATTGAATAGATCATCCTCATGGTACACTCAAATTCAGACTCAACTTTTCTGCACTGGGCTTCAGTGGTGTGATTTTGTATTATATACCCGAAAAGACATGGCAATTGAAAGAATTGTATTTGATCCAGAATACTTTGATTGTTGTTTAAAAAAAGCTTGTATCTTTTTCCACAAATTCTTGACATAAGTTGTATAAATAAAATACTGAGTGATTGATTGCTTTATTATATCAGAATCAAATTATACACTTAGATCGTGATTAGAGTTAAACAGTATAAGTATCAACAGCCTTAAACATTTGATTACAGGTACACAAAAAATTGTACAAATTTTTTTCAGTTGATATCAATAACCATATAATCATTGTCAAAGATAAATGTAACTTCTACAGAATTCAGTCAATTATCTGACCAGGTTTCACAAATGGTAACTTCTATAGATTTATGTCAAATATCTGACCATGTTTTACAGATGGTAAATGTAGTACAAGTGTATAACTCATGATTTACAATTGAACATAGACAGTGCAAGTTAGTAGCACTAAAGTAAATGCAGATATTTGTCGTTTTTTTTTTAAAGATTTTTGACAAAATTAAATATTGTTTAAAATTAGATCATGGGATTTATTTGATTCAAACTGCATACAGTGTCACTTGGTTACAAGAGGTTTCTTTAAGTTACAAAAGAATGCACCTAAAATGATCATCGGATTGACTAAAGATTTCATACTCCAGGGTAGAATCTGAGAAATTAGTTTAAATGATTTCAACCTTTGAATGGCTCTCTCAACATGGATTCTCAAATTTGCAATTTGACGGGTTTTTTTAATTTGAGTAGATGTAAGGTACTTCCCTTTGCCCCAAGTACACTTACGAGTAAATGGTGGTATATTCAGATAAGCATGTCTCTCTGTAAGTAAATCTCGAATGGTGAAACCCCGGTCAGCCATAATCTCGTCTCCCGGTGACACATAATCTAGGAAACCAGAATTCATGGTAATGTACCTGTCAGAAGTGTTCCCTCCCCATATTTGAGACACAAAGTTAAAAGCACCTGTTGGTGTAATGCTCACCAGAAATTTAAAGGTGTTGTGAGATTTATATGTACTATATGTCCTAGCATTTACAGAGGGGTCCCTGGGTCTCTGAATGAAAATCTCTGAACAGTCTATGATAGCTCTGGTCCTTGGAAATTTGTAAAAAGATTTTGGCATGAACTTCTTCACTAGTTCTCGGGATGGCCAGAAAATGAAATCTTTAAACATGAAATACATATAAAAAATCCAGGTTGAGAATATAGAAGAGATTCTGGAACAAGACACCCCAAATAAATCAGACATAACTACCACTGGCAATGCAAGGCGAAATCGCACAAGTGTAAGGATCAATTCCTGGTACCTTGATAGCTTTCTAGATGGACCGGGCTTATTCCCTCTATTTTGATAGCTTTTTTCGTTTTCGCTATGTTCACCGGTCCAGTATTTCAAATTTGGTTCATACTTTAATGTTAAGTCACTAATTTTATTAAAAGTTTCTAAATTTGGTAACCCAGTATATTGTTGGATAGATTTGTCATTTTTGGCTACTTTTTCAATGAACAGGTTTCTGAGAAGTGCATCTTTATCACTGAGTTTTGCCTTTAATTGTTCATTTTCTCTCGAAGTGTTGTTCATGTCTTCAGAAGTGAGGTCTGTCTGTGTACCTTTATCTTCAACATCATCACTGGTTGTTAGAAACCTGTCTACAAGTGGTCTGCTGTAGCTGTGATCTGTTTCAGTAGTTGTGGATGGTGCTAAGTAAATATATACATAATATATATACGTATATACATAAATAATTAATGCAAACAATTTTCTGTCAATTAACATCTGCACATTTTGTATAATTATACATGTATCGATATAAATAAAAATTCTGAGTACCGTTTTATCCCCAGTGCAGTATCAGGGTAATGAATTGAAACTTAATGAGAATTTGTACCTGACTCTGAAAGTTTGCAAGACTCTACAACTGTTTCATACACAGCAAATGGCAGGCCCACACTTATGTCTACTGGTACGTGCTGCTGAGATGACGATGATACTTGCAGCATATGTGCTGGGTCTGTAAAAGAGTTTTTTATTACTAGTCCAAAAGAACTTCATTGAATGTACACTGCATGGGTGATTATTATGAGGACAGCTCTATTTACAATAAATTCATTCCATATTACAGGGCTGTCCCTAAGACCTGTGAGCCAGGGGATTCTCCCCTTTAGTCAAATTAGTGGCATATGATGCCCTGGTTATTTTGGGATTGTCCCTCAATTTACTGTTAGAGGAGTAACCCCAAGTTTTCCTTCTATTTTTTAAATGCAACCCACTATTTCAAATCCTTGGGGGCAACCCTGCATATGATGTTCTTACCAGGTAATGTGTATTTGGAAAAGATGGTAACCTCAGATGTTAGTTATACACATGTAATCATATCAAATTAAGATGGATATCAGGTGAATAATAAATAATTGTGCTAAGACTGGACCTATGTCTGATATGAACAGCTGATAAAGGTGATCTTAGCTCAAAAATGCATACATTAATGATAAGTAATTTGTATACTTTTAGCTGTTGTCTTTATGTAGGGTTGGCCCATATATTTACATTTGTCATACCTGAGTTTTCCTTGTCTTGGAATGCAGGTGCTGTTGCACTTTGCTCCATTGCTCGTTCTCGCTTCTCAATAGACAGGGGTTTTGTTGTAGATACTGATTTGTAATTATTCCATGGGAAAAGTTCTGGGATTGTATGATTTTCTGAGCGACAATTTCCTACGAAATGTTTCGTGCAAACTCTGTGATGAGCTAAAGGTTCATATTCTTTGGGGCGCCGTATCATGGTGATCCATTTCGCTCGAAGTTTTGGCTCTTTGCGTTTCGTTGGGAAGGGTTCAAAGGAGACATCCTCCATCCAAGGATATTTATCTAGTTTATTTTTCTTTCTTGAATCGGAATTGCACCCTGGTACAACACACCAATACTTGCCCTTTGATTCGGGAGTATTTTTTCGACCCACCATGATTTGTTTACGTTTCATAAAACCCCGCGTCAAAATGTGCCTAACTTTTTACAGAGTCACATGATCAGCGTAGACTAAAAGTAGAGTCGTAACGGATCAGAGAAATGACGTATTAAAGCCCGACTTACAGTACTTTCAGTACTTTGATTATGTACAGTTGTTTTGCGTTAGAAATACATGTAACTTTGACAGTTTAAGTTTAGAGAGTATTATATTTAGTTTGAGTGCATTGTTATAGGATATTTTTCACGAAATATAATAAAAAGACATATTTTTAGATGGAGTGCACAAGGAAATTCCTTCTCTGAAGTATTAAAACTCAAACTAATCAAAAAAATCAAAAATATGATATCACGGACATGGAAATCCTATTGGTGCATGTCATTTAGAGAAAATAATATTAATAAATATAAATAAAAGTTTAAAATCAAATTCAAAAGGCGATAAAATGTAGAGGTACCATTGTACTTGAACGTACAAAAAAGACTTCCTGTTTGTGTTAAGTCAGTATGAAAACTCTTCCTGTTATTGAAGTACGTTTACACATAACACAACGAAGTGTAGGTTTGTGACACTTTCTTTATTTTATTCGTTTTATATTTTGGTTGATTTATTTATTTTTTCAGATAATTTTTTTTTTGTAAATGTAAAGGGATGAATTTCTTTTTTGTCAACATATCTATGCAACAATTCCACAAAAATATACTCTCAATGTCAGAGAGGAATAATATACCGGTAATACTTAGTTTTTTCAGCAACTACTCAGCGTAGGTGCTTGAAATTTAAGCACATTATTTGCTGAGACATGCCATACATGTACATGTATGATGGAATTAATGTTTGTTCAAATCCGATTTAATCATGTTTTCAACTTCCTGTTTATCGGTGCGTCTGTCCGTACCATACATAACAACAATTTTTGTCACAGTTTTCTCAGCAAATACTCATTACATAATTTTATGACCGATGTCAACTTTCTCTTCATCCGTGTGTTTGCCTGTTTCAAATTTCTCAGCAACTCCTCATTCTAAATGCTTGAAATTTTAACACAGTCTTCTCTGAGGCATTTCATATGGTGCGATTGATATTTATTCACTTCTATTTTCATCTTCCTGTTTATAAGTGCGTCTGTCCGTAACATACATAATAAAAAATTTTACCGAACTTCTTAAAAAAAACCCACTCATTACAGTTGCTTAAAATTTATTGAGGCATATCATATGGTGAGATTTATTTTCATATAAATCTGTCAACTTCCTTTGTATCTACATGCATCTGCCATATCTAAACTTGACGTGTATATTAAAAATATAGTGTATATTCACATCAGAGCGGGATATAATTTCTAGTGGGCATTTTACTTACAGACTTCTTGTTTATACACTGATCATAAATTGACGACGGATTTTTCTTATCCTGATCATGACACGGAGCACAAGATTGGTGTGAGACCAGTCAACAGGGAATGCAACCCCCCCCCCCTTACATCTGATCCCACCTCTGATGTTTTGGACGTCCGTGTTTAATAATATAATTTGTTCGGTATTATTTACATAATTCTCTCACATAATAATTACTTTTATTGATTCTTCTCGACTTGAAAATCTTAATTAGTTAATTGTTTGTAATTACCGTAGATGATAATTTAATGCTCAACAACAAAACTACGACCACACAATTTATACCTTACAGTATTTTAAAGGCTATTTTAAATCAAGTGGAAAAACTAATTCAACAGCAAAACTCTAAATAAATACCACCATTTTGGAGATTTTCCCCAACACTACCTTTACTAGGAAATTGTCATTGAAAGGATGGTTGGCCCCCCCACTTTTTTTTTCTTTACCATAGTATAGTGATATCAAGGAATTGTAGGAAAATGTACGAAAAGAATGGGAAGTGAAAGTAACTTGGCTTTGAAAAAGTTGGCCTCTACCCCCCCCCCCCCCCCCCCCCCACGAAATAAGATTTTCTATTTCGGGCAACTATTTATTTTTCTTTTTTTTTTTGGTCAACTTATTCAGGTGAGTAAAAAACATTTTCTCTGGGTGCCCCTCCCCCCTTTCAAAAACGATGCTACGCGCCTGTGCTAAGTTTTCGCAATGATGAATTCCAATTTGAATAATTTTAAGTCCTTGGATGTTTGTTCTGCTTCAATATATTC